GCAGCTCAGGGCCCCCTGGGAGGAGGATCCTGGTGTGCTGCATTGGAGGGTGGTGGAGGTGAGGGAGCTGGGGCCAAAACCCCAGGGAGAGCAAAACCTTCCCCAGAGTGTGAAGCCCCAGGGGCCACTTCTGTTTTGACCTATCCCTGCTGAAATTCCACCACGGACTGTATCCACAGCCTTCTTTCCTAGACCTGTGCCTGGTGGAAGAAGTGAGGAGGAGGAGGGAGAGCTGGAAGATTACAAAGAAGAGGAGGTAGTGGAGTAGGGCAGTGGCCGGGACTCACTGGTGCTAGGTGTAGCCCTGCCTTTTACTCACTGTGGGGCCTGGGCATGTTTCTGCCCCCTTGTTTCCCCCCCTGCACCATAAGGAATGGGATTCCACTGGCTCTGACACCTTGTGCTGCCTGGGCCATATTCCTGGAGATGACCTCGACCTTAGGCAGAAGACACTTCAAAGCGTCTGGTCTACCTCTGTCCCAGGCTGACTTCCCTCTCTTCCTTTTTTTTGTCCATCTCAAGCTCACCCTCCATGGGCCAGCTCAGCACCCACCCCCCGAAATCTACAGGGCTACGGAAACAGGAAGGGTCACTAGGTTCCGGGTTGAGGGGCTGAATTTTGACTGCCTCACCCCTTTCTGAACTGGCCATCTGCTTCACCACTTTATTCCCCTGCCCAATGGGGGAGCTTACTACCCCCGTGTGAGGTCACCCTTTCTTTTATAGGGCAGCTCTGACTGATCCTGGACCTGAAGCAGGCCCACACAGTGCTTCAACCCTCAGTTTTGGGTCCCCAAAGCCATCTTCCTGAGGTGTTGAAGAAACCACACCACCTTACAGCTGTTCTGGAGCCTTTGTAGTTTTTTATTCCTTTGTCACCTGTGCTGTGATGGGTCTGTGCTTAGTGTGAAGACACGGAGCTATGCCAGGCTCCTTGACAAAGACAAGAGGAGCCATTGTCCTTAGAGTCCCAAGTGGCAGTTTCCTGGCTGAGGGGAAGGCAGAGAAGCACTGTGAGGTGGCTCCAAGCTTCCCACTCCCCCCACCCCTGGGCTTCAGTTGCCAAGACCCAGATGTGGGCCCATCTTGGCTCCCAGCCAGAGGGAGTCACCCAGGGGTTTTCAGGCGGAGCCTCTGTGAAATCCATGTTCTGTCAATTACCAGCCTTTCCCCAAGAAGGCTGAGGGGTCCTCTGTGGCTTCAGCCTGCCCTTGGGTCAGGGTGGGGACTGGTTCCCACAGAGTAGGGCAGTGGGAACCACCTGTGTCCCCACATCCACATGCAGCCTTTTATTGAGGACTTGCTCTGATGCAATCCTGCCCTGAGCTCAAGCACTGTCTCCCTTCCATATTCACCTGTGTTTCTTTCCTTCCTACTTTCCTCAACATTTCTCACTCGTACCTGGTGAGGCCACCCAAAGCCTGGGGGCTGGGGCTGAGGTGAATAGGACTTGGCCTGTCCTTGAGAAAAGTGTGATCTAGTAGAGGAAATGAGGTGACCCTGTGCAGGGGTGAAAGGTGGGACAGATGATGTGGGAAGAGGGAGGTAGCCAAAGGCTTCTCAGCCCAGAACCCACAGATCCCTCCTGCCTACCCTGTCCCCTGTGGGTGAGGAGAGGGTGTGTGCTGAGCTGATCCAAGGAGGCTAAGCCAGGATTTGGGATGAGTGGAGAAAAGAGGGAAGTGAGGCTGGGAACCAGATGGCACCAAGTCAAGGAGGGAGAAAGAACTGACCTGTGCTTAGGGAATAGACCTTGCTCTGTGTGGAGCAGGGGATGGAGATTGATTAGTCAGGTCCGAACATGAGCGACTTCAAATACCAGGCTAAGAAACTTGTCCTTTATCCTGAAGGCGCTGGGGAGCCATGCAAGGGTTTTGAAAAAGGGTTACATGACCAGCTAGATAGTCAGTGCCCCGTGCAGCGTGGAGTGGAATAGAGCTGAATTGGGGCAGGGGGCTGGAGAAAGACCAGAGGCGGGTGCACTCAGCTGGGCCCGAGGGATGGAGGCAGTGGACAGATGTGAGAGAATTACGGAGGGACAATTGACAGTGACAGAGTTGACATAGGAAGTGCAGGAGAAGGAAGAGGCAAAGCGACTTTGAAGTTTCCAGACAGAATTAGAACTTTGCTAATGCCTTTGATAGAAACAAAAGACAGGTTAGATGTTGAATATTTGAGTGCGAGGGGCCTCTGGGAGGCCCCGCAGATGCCCAGGAGGCAGCCTGTTCGGAGGGCTGGAGGGTCACTGAAGTCAGTGCGTCAGGGGAAGGCTCCAAGCTCCCTGGCGGTGGGGTGGAGAAAGGGGAGAGACAGGGCCCGGTGCTTCTGCGAGGAGCACCCATGTTGAGGGGGCAAAGGGAGGAAGAGCCAGCGAGAGAGACGCAGGAGGGGCCGTCTGGAAGGTGGGAGGGAAGCAGCCGCGCAGGAAGGGGGCGGGCGAGGGCTCTGAGCAGAAGCCGCCTTCTTTGGCAGCGAGGAGGTAGCTGGAGCCTGCAGTGCTCGCGAGGCCGTGGGCGCAGGGCGGAGGCTGGATCCCAGAGGCTGCGTCCTCCCGTCCCTTTGGGCAGCCCCCCGCCTCCCAGCTTCCTCTCCCCTCCCGCCAGCTCCCCCGACTAGCGAAAACCAGTGTCTGCGGGGCGGGGGCGGGGGCGGGGGCGGCGGCGGGGCCAGGGCCAGGGCCAGGGCCAGGGCCAGGGCCCGTGAGCGCGGCACGCCCGGATCAGCACCCGGGAGAGCGGCCGGGGCCTGCGGCGGGGCGGGGCGGGGCCTGCGGCGGGGCGGGGCCTGGGGCGGGGGCGGGGCCTGCGGCGCGCCCGGGGGCCTGGGGTTCCTGCCGCGCCCGCGGAGGGACGCCTTGGCCCTCTCCCCTTGCAGAAGCACGCCCCGCCATCCGGGCACCGCGCTACAGGAGCCCCTACCCCAAGATCTGAGGCCGTTACTCCCTCTCAGCGCCATCCAGTCAACCTCTTCAGGGTAGAGATGGGAGGAAGACTTTACCCGGACTTGACAGGCATTTCCAAAGCTTTACAACTCTCTGAGCTTGGAAATTGTGACCTCTCCTTTTGAATGAGAAAACTAAATTGAAGTTTAGAGAGATTAAATAACTTGCCCAGGGTGCATGGCAGAGCTGGGATTTGAACTTCCACCTGCCTGGGCTCTAAGTCCTGGAGTACCTGAGTACACAGGAGTCCTGGATATTGTGCCTCGTTCCTGCACGCTCCTTACTCCTGGGTCAGATGTGGAGTCTGGTGTGGCAGTAGGATGGGAGGAGACCTTCCCTCCTACCTGACTTGCTTGAGTTTATTCCCAGGAGATTTCTGAAGATGAGGCCTCCACCATCGTTTCCAGAGTGGGAGGGCAGAGAGGAGGCTAAGGGGTAGGTGAGGCCTCAAAGCACCTGCTTCCCCTGTGCCTGGGAGGTGCCCTCCTTTAAACACCTCTGACTCAGCTTCTTACTGCCAGGCTCTTCGGGGTGTGAAGGGGAACTGTGAGAGGCCAAGCCTGGACATGGTCCAGGGTCGGGGCTTTCTGGACCTGAAAAATGCCTTCCTAGCTGGCAGGCATGAAGCAAGAAGGTCCCAGGTATGAGTCAGGCTGAGAAAACAGTGTGGCCAGAGCTTTCAGAGGTCTGAAATTCTACCTTCTGGAGCCACAGTGGGAAGCAAAAGCTTTCTCATATTTTCTTTCCTGAAACTTCCAAAGCCACAGGTCAGAGGTGAGGTTATTGGTGAGGGCTACACCTAGTCCCTGTCGGCTAGAGTACAACCCCTTCTCCTGGGTCCCCTCCCTTTAAGACCCAGTGGTATCCTCTCTTACAGAAAAGCTCACCATTCCCCAACTAAGTCAGCGGCCCTTTTTGGGCACTACAGACTGTGCTTCCATCATACTACAAGTTGTACCCCCACACACACACATACACCTTGACTGGGTGCTGCTCCAAGGCAAAGAACAGTCTGAGTCACATCTAATGAAGTTGGCTAATGGTAGGTGTTTGTGAATGAATGAATAAGTTGGTGGAGGAGCCAGCATTGAACCCCTATTTCCTGCCTCGAAGTGTGGAGCTTTTTCTTTTCTGTCCAAAGACTCTACTGAGACAGCTCCCTACCTGTCCCATTGCTAAAATGAGCCCATTCCATTGGCTTAATGCTCCCTCCTGAGGAGTCTTCTCTGGCAACAGAGCAGAGGTCCAGCAGGACTTCTCCCATGCAGATAGTCTGTGGACAGTGAAAACCAAGTGGGCAGGCTGTGGCCTGGGTGCCCACAACTCCTAGTAGAAGTGCATGCTTCTGGGCACCTGGCTGGTTCATTCCATAGAGCATGTGACTCTTGTTTGTTTTAAAGATTTTATTTATTCATGAGAGAGACAGAGAGAGTGGCAGAGACATAGGCAGAGGGAGGGGCAGGCTCCGTGTGGGGAGCCTGATGTGGGACTTGGTCCGGACCCCAGGATCATTCCCTGTGCCAAAGGTAGATGCTCAACCACTGAGCCACCCAGGTGCCCCGAGGATGTAACTCTTGATCTTGGAGCAGTGAGTTCGAGCCCCATGTTGGTTATAGAGATTAGTTAAAAATAAAATTTAAAAAAAAGTGCATGCTTCAGCATCAGGTCCCACGGTGCCCCAGCTAAAGAGAGCCACCAAAAGTGGACTCTGTGACAAGGCTCTGAGTCCAAAGGCCATTAGCAAAAGCACCCAGAGCCCCTGTGTACACAGCTCCATGCACCCCAGGACATAATACAAACTCTGTAAGGGAGCCCAGAGGAGCTGGTTCTGCCTGGAGGCCTGGCCCTGCCATACTTCAGAAGGATGCAGAAGTGTCCCTTGATCCTGAGGGCCTCTGTAATGGGGTACCGCAGGGTCTGGGTCTCATCCATTTGCTCCTCATCCCCAGCTCCCATTGTACTCTGCATTGTGTAAATCCATCCTCATACCTCCCTGGCCTCCTTTGCTTCTCTCTCTCTCTCTCTCTCTTCCTCTCTTCCTCTCTCTCTTCCTCTATCTCTCATCTCTGCTTCCCCCCCCCCTTTTCTTTTCTTTGTTCCTCTGTGTGTGTTTTCCCTATGCCTCTCTGATCTCTCTATATTTCCATCTTGATCTCTCTGAGGCTCTGATCTCTCTCTTCTCTCTTTCATGTATTTCTCTCTTTCCTGTCTGTTTCTCTCTGTCTCTGTCCTTTCCTCTGTGTGAGAGTCTTTCTTTTCCTCTCCCAGCCAGAGTCTCTCCCTACCCCTCCCTCCCTCTCTCCCTCTCTGTCTGGGCCTCTCTGTTCCTCCTCCCTCCTCCCTCCCCCTTCTGCATTATCAGACCTGCTCCAACCTCCTCCCAGAGCCAGCCTAGCGGCAGAGGCAGTGGCAGCAGGAGAGGTGGAAGCAACTGGGGCAGCAGCAGCACGAGATTGGGGTATTGAGTCCAGGCTGAGTTGGGGACAGGCTACCGCTCTTGGTCCCCGTGCCTACCGGGCCAGGCACCCTGCCTGGAACCCCGGGCAGGGTGGACAGGGCGAGGTGCCACCTTAGTCTGGCTGGGGAGGCAGACGATGAGGAGCGATGGGGCAGGCATGCGGCCACTCCATCCTCTGCAGGAGCCAGCAGTACCCGGCAGCGCGACCGGCTGAGCCGTGAGTACTATTGAGGGGCTGGAGGCTTGGGTGAGCGACTGCAAGAAGCACCATGAACCGGGGACCTGGGAGTGCCTGTGAGGAGCCGGGGTTGGCGTGGAGCTGAGCCACGTGGGAGGATCGATCCTGTTCCTGGGTGCCGGTTGCTGGACTATAGCCTGGGGGCCTCTGCACAGCGTTGGGGGTGTCTGGCATCAACCTAGAGGGTGATGGGGCTAGGGTCCCATAGAAGGGGCTGGGGGAGGGGTTGGTAATGAACCTAATTATCCTTTCAAGGGCTGGGGGTAGGGGAGGTCTGCAGGGAGTTCCAAGGAGCTCTGGGGGGCTGAGATAAACTGATTCAGAACCCTGGAGAAGGATGAGACGTCTGGGACCACGTGTGTGCGTGTGCGTGTGTGTGTGTGTTGTGTGTGTGTTGTGTGTGGTGTGTTTCCATGTGCCCGCACTCCCACGTGTGAAAGAGAGAGAATGAGGGAGGGAGAAAACAAACATGAATATGAACGAGTAAGTGGCACTGAAACAGAAGAGAGTCTGGGGCAATTGCCTTTCATGAGATTGGGATTCATAGCCACCAGTTTAGGCAACTTTACCCCCAAAACACCTGTCCCAGAGAGAGCCATGGCTGGTTGAATGAGGCCTCTGTGCACCAGCCTCATGTGTGTCCACATTTGGGGGGTACTTGTGCAGGTGAGTGGAGTAGGGGGTTCCGTGGAAGTGCCCCTCTACCATCTGAGAGCTGCCAACGTCAGGGACAAGTGACGTGTGTCTCCAAGTGAGTGGAGGTGCAAATCTGTGCCTGCACAGGAAGGTATGTGTATGTGTGTACATGTGTGATGTGCGAGGTGGCATGTGGGGTGGGCAGGGGTCTGTGGAGTCCTTGGTTGGATGTGCAGCAGCCTGTCAGGATGTGTGAGTAATCCTGTGTGACTGAAAGTGTTCATCTCTATAAGTGTGAGTGCAGGTTACATTGTGTGTAGGTGTGTATGTGTGTTAGTTTGAGTTTGTATGTTGGCATGCATGTTAATATGTGTGCCTACATCTGCAAAAGAGTGACTCAATATTGAATGTATTGTTTGATTCCATGTACACTCATGTTTGTGTTCTTGCTAGTGTGTGTATATTAGTGTTGAGCTGTGTGTGTACGTGTGTGTGTAGATGTGGATGTCTGTTAGTATAAGTGGGTGTGGGCGTGTGATCATGGTGCTGGTGGACATGAGTCTATATTGGTGCTTGTGTGGCTGGTGTATGTGTATGTGTGTATCTGTGTGTGTATTCATCCAACTGTGTGTAGGTGGATGTTTCCTTCCCCTAGTGGTTGAAGACACAGCTGGGACACTGTGGCCCACTGAGGCAGGGCGGGGGTGGCTGAATGTGCGACCACCTCTGTGAGCCCAGGACAATTCATTCTGCACCCTGTGGGGAGATGAAGAAAAGAAATAGGCAATAATGGCTCTGCCCTCTGGGGCCTCCTAAGCTTCCTAGACATAAAATAGCTTGAGAATAATTAAGTATAAAGATCAAGATCAAGCTAACAGGTGGGGGTGGAGTGGGTGCACCACAAGCAAAGGCCCTGGGTGGGGATGGGGCATGTACCTGGAGCAGTGAAGAGGCTGAAGGGGTAGGCAGCAGCCACATCCTATAGGACTTTGAACTCCAGACCTCTTGGGCTTTATCCTGAGGGCTCTAGGGAGCTTGAGAAGATTCTCTGTGGTGGGGACAGAATCAGGTTTGGGTTTTAGAAAGCTGCCTCAGTGGTACCGTCAAGGTTGAACTGGAAGAGAAAGATGGGGCAAGGAGACAAGGTGGAGGCCATGCCAGTGTGGGCATCAGGGAAGTCTGGAACCTGGTGGACCAAGGGAGCAGATGAAGGAAGAAATTGGAGGGCATGGGAAAGACAATGAGATGGGGAATGTCAAGGTGACTTGGGCTTGGACTCAGTGGCAGGACTTCAGATTGTCAGGATGTTGGAGGGGAAAGCTCTTGGAAAGCTCAGGCCAACAAGGTAGCAGAAGAGGACCCCAGAGGGTTTCCAGCCAGGGTGCAGAGGGTTAGAAATTATGGAGTCGACTCTTCCCAGACAGGGAAACTGAGGCTGTGGCTTTGTCAACCTCCTCTGGCTACAAGGCCAGGGCTGAAGCTCTTCATCAGATGCAAGCCTCAGTCTTCTTCCTCAGGCCCCGCAGGGGACTTGTTGGTTGCCTGAGCTGGGTCGGCTCAGTGAGGGTTAATCGCCTTTATCCTCTCTGCAGCCCCCAGTTGCCCCAGCCCACCAAACAGCTCCTGCCTCTCTGCTTCCCACTCTAGCCTCGGGTCCCCAGAGACTCCTGATGGCTTGGCTGGGATCTAGCCAAATAGGGGAGGCAGAGCGCCCAGCAGTACCCGCCTTCAGTCTTAATGGCCTGGGAGTCTCACCCTGAGCCGGCCTGCTGTCAAGCCAGGCCTGCACTCCCTGGCTCCTGCTGCTCGGGCCTATACAACCTACCCACTCAGCATGCTCCCGTCCTGGATTTTTGTGCTTATTCGTTCATTAATTCACTCAACAGCAACTTTGCAATGCATGCTCAGTGCCTGCTGGCCTGGTCACTGGGGGACCAGAATGGACACAGCCCCAGACCCTGCTCTTGGAGACTGCTGGTCTGATGAGAGAGGCAGGAGTGGAAACATACAACCTTGCAGTGGGAACAGTGCTGTGCAGAGGGAAGCCCCATGAACTGTGGAGCCCGCACCAAGCCAGGGCTTCAAAGGAGGAGACACTTGAGCTGCACCTTCAAGGATAGATGGGAATGGCCTGTGTGGGGAGGGGCAGAGGGGACAGTACATGAAGGTGGGTAGATGTGATAAAGTGCTATGTGATCAAGGGACAGAAAGAGTTTGGGTTGGTGGGAGCAAGAAGGGAGTGGAGAGGAGGAAGAGAAGACAGGAAGGGCCAGATTCTGTAGACTCTCAAATGCCAAGTGAAGGGGCTTGGCCTTCTCTTCATAGGACTAGTTTGCTAAGGAAAAGCTTTTGAATAGGAAGCCTCCCCTAGAAAGCCCTCCTCAGTTTCCCCTCCTTCTGACTCTGTGACCCACCCAGGAGTCTCCCCGATAGTATGGCATCAAGCTTGTGGCCCAGACTCGGCCTTCCCCCATGATGCCTCTGTGTGCGAGGTCCTTACCCAGCTAGTGAAGGAGCTCCTCTAAGGCAGGAGCCATCTCCTCATGCTTCCCAGCACAGGGCTGGATACCTGGGCTCAGTGCAGCCTCCCAGCGGGAGAGAACATGTAGAGCATCTGAGCCACATTCTAGCAGTAGCTTTACTCCTCTCTGCAACTTGCCTAGGATCTATCCAGTTCTGCTTACATACCCCCTAGGAGGGGCTGCTCATCCCTTTCCTATTGAGCAACCTTTCCCTTGGAGTGTTATGTTTGTCCTGGACTCCTCTATAGGGCCTGGCTACTTGGCCTTGTGTCCCTTCTCCATCCTGGGTCACTAAAAGTAGGGCCAAGCTGGGGCATAATGGTTCAGGAATGGTATGAACACATCCTGGGCAGAGAGTGGGCCTTTATTCACACACATATGGTAAAACTGAGATGGAGTGGTCCCTGACCCCTCTCCAAAAATAATAGCTAAGAAAGGGAGTGAGGATAGACAATAGGAAGAACTTCCTACCAGCACAGAGGAGTGTGGAATCTCCTGGCTTTCTGAGAGTGGGCTGTGGGCATGAGGGGGAAGTCTTCCAGGACAGAAAGGGGAATTAGAGACAGGCCCTCTCCAGCCCTGCCCCTCCTGCAGGTGAGTGATGTCATCCAGGGAGAGGGGGATGGCAGGGGCTGAGAGAGACAGAAGGGAGATCAGGATCAGTTCATTCATTCAGCAGATATTTACTGCCATGCTACCCAACCAAACATACCAGCTTTGTGGGGAGCGGGACAGAGCAATGGTCACATGGAGGAAGGCCCAGGGTCCCCCCCCCCCACCTCTGCTAGTGTCTGGGGAAGGTCTTTAAGAGGAGAGGCTATTGGGGCTGGCCTTAGAAGGAAGAGTCACTTCTTCAGACAGAACTGACAGCTCCAGGAAGAGCCAAAGCCTTGTGCAAGGTCTTGAGAGCAAGCATGGTTTTGTTTATGTGAGGACTGGAGGGGTTCAGAGTGGCCTAAGCGTAAAGTGCAAGGGTAGGAGGAGGCCTGGACAGAGACAGAGAAGTGAGAGGATTGGGGCTAGACTTAGACTACAAGAAACACTTTCCATAGCCTAGGTGCCCCCCCCCACCCCCACAGCTTTAACATGTAGGCATTGTTAGGAATTTGCAACTTCTTGCTCTCCCAGCACCCCATCAGGGCTGCTGAAGGGCTCCTCCTTGCTTAAGAATGGCGTTTTCAGTGAACAGAGACCCTGAAAATGGGGGAAAGGCAGCAGTTGAATGTGAACCCCTTCCAGAAAGTGCCATGCAAATGAATGCAAAATAATATGCAAATGAGCCAGCCTGGGCTTGGCAGCTTTGTCTGAGAGGATGAGACATCGCCCCCTTCCATGCTTGCCTCCCACCCCCTCTGCCCCAGCCCCCAGGACAGCCAGAACAGCCTTGTCTGCTGCTTTGAGTGCCCCAGCTTCTCTGAGCCACAAGATTGTGGCCTCAAGGTTAGGGGCCACAGGCTCCCTGTCAGCACCCCCATCCTCTCGGGAAGTTGATATATTTAGTAACGGATGTTTTCAACACATTTATCTCCCATTGTTCGACTGCCCACTCCCTGGGAAAGGCCAGGTCCCCAGTGACGTGACCCACTTCTCGGATTCCCTGAAGTCACCCTTCTCACTGCCCTCCCCGAAAAACAGGAGACAGTTGGGGCCTGGTGCAGCAGAAGGGATTTAAGTCAGGCATCTGGGAGGACTTCCCAACAGTGTAGTTGCTGAAATACGTGGACCTTGAGGTTTCTGGGTTCTGACTCTTTTTTTTTAAGATTTAAAAAATTTATTTATTTGAGAGAGAGCAAGAGTGCACAAGTGGGGGAGGAGCAGAGG